TATGTATTACATTAGCTTTAAGGGCCACAGGGAAGATATTATATTAGATTGAAATGTTATAATATGGATATTACTTTAGTATAAAAGGCTATAGGGAGGCTATAATGTTAGTTTTGGATGTTATGGCATGAATATTATATTAACATTAAATGTCACAGGGAAACTATTATATATCAGTTTTAGATGTTACACTCTTAATATCATATTAGTATTAAAGGCATCAGGGCAACTATTGTATTTGTTTTAGATCTATGACATGTATGTTATTATTTCAGTCATCTTTTTCACTGCTTTGACCAAAGGACCTGACAAGAACAATTTTAAAGGAGGAAAAGTTCATTTAGGGGCTCACAGTTTCAGAGATCTCAGCCAATAGATGGCCAACTCTATTCCTTGGGGCTTAAGGTGGGGCAGAAGAATGTGGTGAAGGAAAGTGGTGATCAGGAAGCAGAGAACCTAAGCTCAGCTCATCAAATATGTACCCCAAAGGCACAGCCTCAATGACCCACCTCCTCCAGCTACACACTATCAGCCTGCAGTTACCACTCAGTTAATTCCTTCAGAGGATTACTAATTTGGGTTAAGGCTCTCATAACCCATCATTTCACCTTTAAACTTCCTTAAATTGTCTCACACATGAGCATATCCAAACCAATTATTTGGTATTAAGGCCACAGTGCATCTATTATTTTAAATGCTGCAGTATGGATATTATATTAATATTAAAGGCCACAGGGTAGCTAATATATTTTATTAGCTTTGGATACTATAGGATGGATATCATATAAATATCAAAGGCCACAGGACAACTATTGCATCAGTTTCAGATGTTCCAATATGAATATCATATTAAAATTAAACACTTCAGGTCAATAATTATGTACTATTAGATACTCAAGTATGGATATCATGTTAGCATTAAAGTCAACATGGCAGTATATTGATTTTAACACTATCCTATAAATATCATATTAGTTTAATGGCCACAAAGCTGATATTATATTAGTTTAAGGTGATACAATATCATATTAATACTATAGGACCTATTTACCAGTTTTATATGAAGCACGTATTTATCAGTTTTATATTTATAATATGTATATTAAATGAATATTAAATTTCATAAGAAACTTATGAAATTGGCTTCACAGGTTATAGGAATGATGTAACATTAATATTAAAGGCCACAGGACATCTATTACATCAGTTTTGGGGGCTATAATATTAGTATCAAAAGCTACAGGGGAGCTATTAGTTTAATATGCTTTAGCATGGATGTCACTTAGTATTAAATTCTATTGCACAGCTACTTACTTGTTTTAGATATTATAGTTTGCATCTATTAGTAATAAAGACCTCCGATATAATTTTTTTGCTATAATATGGAAATCGTATTAATATTAAAGGCCACAGAACAGTTATTTAATCAGTTTTCCATGCTATAGTATGAATAAAAAAACAGTAATAAAGGCCACAAGACAGCTATTGTATTAAGTTTAGAGGTCAAAGTATGAATATTATGATATTAAAGTCTAGAGGGCAGCTATCATATTAGTTTTGAATGCTATACTATCAATATTAAAGGACACAAGGATGTTATAACATTAGTTTTTCATGGTATATTATATTAGCACTAAAGGCCACAGAGCAGTTATTACTTTAGTTTTAAAGAGCACAATATGTTTATCATATTACATATCATATTAAAGGGCCCAGGCAGCTACTATATTAAGTTGAGGAGCTACGGTATGGATATCATATTAGTATTAAAGTCCACAAGGTATCTATTATACTAGTTTTAAATCCAACAGTATGGATATAATATTTGTCCTAAGGACACAGGACATATGTAATATTAATTTAAGATGCTATATTATGGATATAATATTAATATTTAAAGCCAGAAATCATCTATTATACAATATATGCTATTATATGGATATTATAGTAAGATTAAAAGACACAAATCATCTATTATGTTAGTTTGAGTTGCAGTAGCATGGATATCATATTGGTATTTAAAGCCACAGTGCCACTATTTTATTAGTATTGGATATACTGTAGCACAGATATCATATTAATATAAAAGCCACTGGGAAGCTATTATATTAATTTTGATGCTATACTATAAAAATTGTAATAGGTTTAAAGTTACAGGGCAGCTACTATATTAGTTTTAGATATAAATTAGCTATTATATCAGTTTCAGAGGCTACAGTACAAATATGTTAGTATTAAAGTGAACAGGTTAGATATTATATTGGCATATAAATGTCATAGGGAAGCTACTAAATTAGTTCAATATGCTATAATATTGACATTGCATTGATATGGAAGACCACAATTCAGCTATTGTATCAGCTTTAAATACTGTAGTATGAATACCTATTAACATTAAAGGCCACAGGGCACTATTATTCTAGTTTTAGAAGCTTTGGTATGGATATTTTATCGTTATTATAGATTACAGGCAGCCATTTCATCAGATTTAGATCAACAGTATAGATATTTTATTAATATTAAAGTTTTATATTCTGTTATAATTATTATATTACTATGAAATTCTACAAGGCTGCTGTATTATCAGTTTTTGGTGCTATAGTATGTATGCACTATCAGTATTAAAACATCACTTGAAGCTATTACATTAATTTCAGAGGCCACAGTGTTTATCTCAATATTAAAGGCTACAAGGCAGCTATTATGCCAGTTTTAGATACTACAGTATGGATATTATGTTAATATTACACGTCACAGAGCAGCTATTATATTAGTTTTTGGAAGGTATAGTATGGACATCTTTAATATTAAACACAACAGGCACCTATTAGTATTAGGTACTATAGCATGGATATTATTAGTATTAAAGACCACAGGGAAGCTATTATAATATTTTCTAGGTACCATAGAGCATATCATATTACTCTTGAAGGCAAAAAGGAAGCTATTTTATTTATTTTAGAGTCTACAGTATGAATATAATATTAGAATAAAAGGCTACATGGAGACTATAATGATGCTACATATGGATAAAATTAGTATTAAAAGGCTACAGGACAGCTTTTCTGTTAGTTTCAGAGGACAAAGTATTGATATTATACTAAAGTCAAAGGCTACAGGGCAGCCATTATATTAGTTTTAGATGCTATAGTATGGCTATCATATGACATTTATAGGCCACAGGGCACATATTTTATTACTTTTAGATGCTATAATGTGGATATTAGTAGTAAGGATCAAAATTCAGATATTATATAAAATTCAAAGTATGTGGGCTGGGGTTGTAGCTCAGTGATAGAGAACTCACCTAGCATGTGTGAGGTGCTAGGTTTGAGCCTCAGCACCACATAAAAATAAATAAATGAAAATGAAGGCATTGTGTCCAACTACAACTAAAAATTTTTTTAAAAAAAATTCAAAGAATATGCCCCTTTTACATATTTCATGTTGAAGTAATAACATATGTTAACTTATTATATTTTTATGCTGTCACTAGGTTCTAGGTTTTTCTTCTTAAAATGTGATCACTACAGAGGAAAAAATGACATTTTGGAGATTTTATTTCAACTCAAGATTTAACTTTCCTGAAAGAGTGACTTTATAAAAAATGTCTCTATTTTATTTCTATGCATACATTTTAGCAGCAATATAATCAAATATTTGTCACTGGGACAAATAGTCAAAGAACATCCATTTCCTCCAAGACCTCTACAGGAAGTGGTGAGCCAAGAGAAGCAGAGGTGTCAGATCAGTCCAGGAGTGATATTAGATGCTGCTGTGTTGTGGGAAACTCTACCTTTTAGAAATCACAGGGAGCCATGGATGCCCAAACTCTTGCATGAGTCTAAATCTAGTTGAAATTCTAAGTAATTTTATTATCACTAGCTCATCATGAAGGTAATGATAACTAAAGGATCTATGGGGCTTGGGAGGTAGCTCATTGGTAGAAAGATTTCCTAGCATGCAGGAAGCCCCAGAACCACAAAAGGAAAAAAAAAGAATTTGTGTAATCAAATAGAAAATGAATAATTATTCCTCTTAAGGAAACATGTTGGACCTAAAACACTTGAGACTCTCAGAATCAAAATACTCTCCTTATAGTGTATTGCATACCTACACCATCATGAACAGTGGTGTCACATCATAAAGCATGTTCACATTAAGCATACCATCAAAACAACAAAAAGGCTTTATTGACTGTTGATAAGAAAAATGAACATAATCTACCTTAGGAAATTATTAACACAACATTAGGATAACATTAGGATAAAATGTAATCATGGCATTTCCCACATGTAATAACTCTAAATAATAATAAATACATAATTTCAAAAGAAAGTCAAATTTCTGAAATCAAAAGCAAACTGATACATTTTTAAATGATATTTTGAACAGAGGCAAAACAAAGAGTTCTCCCACAAGAATTCCTAAAAACATAAAGTATCGTGCTCATTAGAAGGCCCATCCCTTTGTATGCAAGGAATAAGAGAACTTTCTGATGAATGTAGAACTTTAATAGGACATATGGACATGCTTTCTAAATTTTAAAGAAGAAAAATATCTTTTTTTAAAAAAAGCTTATTTTTAGTAAATATATCTGAATTGCAAAAAAGCAGCTACTGACTTGTCTCTTACATTTTGTAATGATTTGCATCTCAGGAAATTTCATCTTTAGTGGTTTTAAATGTCATGAAATATCAATAGTTGACATTAAAAATATCATCCCTCTTCTCTTTTAAAATTGATTTGAAATTTTCTTAGAATAATTTCATATGAATTTGGAAGAGGCACTGTGGTATATGTATGTATGTGGAAATACATGACCTTTTTTTAAAAAAAAAATCTTTATTTTTAGTTGCAGTTGGACACAATACCTTTGTTTTATTTACTTATTTTTATGTGGTGCCGAGGATCGAACCCAGGTCCTCGCATGTTCTAGGTGAGTGCTCTACCACTGAGCCACAACCCCAGCCCCAATACATGATCTTTTTAAAGCATACCTCTCATGCTTGAGTCCTGTCAAAGACATCTTCTGTGTGTGTGGTGCTGGGATGGACTCTATGGCCTCCCACATGCCAGGCAAATGCTCTGCTACTGAGCTGCACATCCAGACTCCAAAGATACCTTAATAAGTGGAAATTAATTAAAATCATTTGATTATGAGCATTTCCAAACAATACAATTCTCTCAAGCAAGCAAATTCTCTCAATCAAAAACAAAGTAAGCTAAAAGTAATTTTTAAAATATTCCTTATAAAAAAATAGAAGTCCACAGAATTAAAAAATTCTATAAAGGGCTAGAATGTGGTGCAAAGGCAGAGCATTTGCCTGGCATGTGTCAGGCCCTGGGTTCAATCCTCAGCACCACATATAAATAAACAAAATAAATAAGTAAAATAAAAAGATCCACTGACAACTAAAAAAAATATTTTAAAATTTCTATAGAAAACTGAAAGAATATTAATCAAAAATTGAATTAGAAACACCTACTGCACAGAACTGGAGACCTGGAGGCCATGGGGAATTACATTTCAAAATAACTCTGAAATAAGAAAATGAATCAATTAGCATACAAAACCTTGGACTGGTACTTAGACTCCCCCCACTGGATGGGATCCTGGGATCATCAGGGCTCAATGCTGACTGTCATCTGCCCTTTAACAAATTCTGATTTTATTTCAAATGTTCATGATCTACAGAGAAAATTAAAAAAGAGAAAGGTGACATTTCTAAAGTTATTTTATGGTATATCGCATTCTGATTCAGTCAAGATAATTCATCCAATGCAGGATGTCAGTGTTTACACAACGAACGTTATTTGTGCACCATTACAAATATACTGCCAATTAGCACAGCAGCCAGGGAGCTGCTCATCCTAGACTAGCAGGAACAGAGTCTGGAGGAGGAGGAGGGGGCCTGGAAGATGGGTGGGGTCTGGAGAAGAGGCAGGGTCTTAAAGAGGAAGAGGATTGGGCTGGAGTTATGGCACCGTGGTAGAGAGCTTGCCTAGCATGTGTGAGGCACTGGGTTCAAACATTAGCACCACATAAAAATAAATAAACAAAATAAAGGCATTGTGTCCACGTGCAATTAAAAAAAATTAAAAAGAAGAGGAGGGTGAGGTCTGGAGGAGGGGCAGGACAGGAAGAAGGGAAAAATCTGGAGGAGAAATAGGATCTGAAGGAGAGGGATAATGAGCCACAAGGGGGCAGGGCCTGGCAGATGGGTGAGACCTGAGGGAGGGACAGGCCCTAGAACATGAGTAGGATGTAGAGGAGAGGCAGGGTAGGAAGGAGGGGGAAGGTGGTTCAGGAGGACAGGCAGGGCCAAAGAATATGGGTGGGGTCTGGAGAAGAGGCAGGGTCTGGAGGGGGAGGCCTTAGCAAGAGGGTCCTGGAGGGGTGGCTTTTTGCTAATTAAACTCTCCACCAAAATAAAAATGTGTGGCAGTGGTAGCTCAGTGGTAGAGTGCTTGCCTAGCATGTGTGAGGCACTGGGTTTGATCCTCAGCACCACATAAAAATAAATAAAATAAATGTATTGTGCCCTTCTACAACTAAAAAAAATTTTTGGACAAAACTAAGCAAAGATTAAAGAAAAAATGTGGTTCATTATTAAAAATACAGGGGATGTATTTTTAATAAATTCTGGCTTTGTTAGAAGTAATATATTTAAACCTAAGTGGCTCAGAAGGCTGGGGCAGAAGGATCTTGAGTTCAAAACCAGTCTCAACAAAAGCAAGGCACAAAGCAACTCAGTGAAACCCTGTCTCTATAATACAAAATAGAGCTGCCTCGCACTAGGCATCTCCCTCAGGCTGCTCTGAGGAGAACGGAACACCGGGTGTCCCTAGAGACATGACCCACAAGGCTCCCCACACCAGGAGTCTTCCTCAGACAACTCTGAAGAGAAAGGAAACCCGGGCATCACTAGAGATGTGACCCAAGAGAGTCCCTACACTGGCGTCTCCTCCAGACCGCTCTGAGGAGAAGGGAACCCCAGGCCTACTTAGAGACATGACCTGTGAGGGTTCCCAACCCTGGTATCTCCCTCAGGAAACCCTAGAAACATGCCACACGAGGGTCCCCAAGACAGGTGTCCCCCTTAGGCTCCTCTGAGGACAAAGAAACCCCAGGCATTCCTAGAGCCATGACTCACGAAGTCTCTAAGCCAAGAGTCCGCTGAGGCTTCTCTGAGGAGAAGGACGCTCCGGGAGTCCCTGGAGGCATGACCCACGAGGGTCCCCAACCTGGGTGTCTCTCTCTCAATCTGCTCTGAGAAGGGAGCTCTGCCACTCCCCGTGGAGTGACCCAACACTCCAGCGAACTGGGGCTCTCCCGGGTTGGTCCTGAGTGGGAAGCCAGCTCTCCTCACTCTCAGGGAGGCAGCATTAAAGATGGCGGCAAGGCCCTGCCCCTTCTTGACCACGCCCCTTTGGCCACGTGCAGGTGCTCCAGCCCCAAGCTGCTCACAGCTCAGAGGCGGGGCCTCTCCCAGCTCCCTGGTGAATGTCAGTGCCTTCTTCCACCCTCAGCAGTTACTGAATAAAATCTGTTCCCACTGCTGTAACTAGGTCTGGCTCTGGCACCATGAGTAGTGGAATCTCAGGAGAGGAGAAATGGAGTCCAGGAGACCCCCTCCCTGCACTCAACCAGGCCAAGGGCTGCAACAGCCTGAGCCAGGTGGGCAGAGGCACAGAGGGAGGCTTCCACAGGGAGTCTAGACCCTCACTCAGGTACCCAAGGGCAGAGACCACCTCAAAGGCTTCTGGGACATGTAGTCTTTGAGACAGTGACTTAGCCAGGGTCTGCCCCATTTTAGAATCAGGGATTTTAAGAAAATCTGTTAATTCCCAGCCCAGGATGACCACTGTAGGAGGGTAGAAGAACCTGAGTTCAGACCAAATTACCAGTAGCCTCTGGGAGCATTCCAGGTCATTCAGTCTGTCCTGCCTATACAGCTCTCACCATAGATGCCTCTGGGAACTGCAAGCTACACAGATGGGCAATCTCAGGGATTCTGGACAGTGTAGTCTGGTGCTCTACCCACACTGTCTTTGCCCTTCAGGACAATGGAAGCTGTTTGCCATGTGCTGGTCCAGGAACCCTGGAGGACCCTGGAAGTGGACTCTGGTGTTCTACCCATGCAGCCCTCACCCCAGAAGCCTAGGGGTTGCAAGCAGCACATTTACTCTCATAGTGCCAGGATTATGGGTAGTGCAGTTTCATATTCTACAATGCAGCCCAGCTACAGAGGTCTCTGTGAGCTGCAGGCTACTCAGGCACCCCTAGTGATTCTGAACAGTGTAGTCTGGCATTCTGCCCATTCAGCCCTCACTCCAGAAGCCTATGGAGACTTCAAGTAGCACATTCACCCTCATACACCCACCCAGGATTCTGGGCAGTATAAACCAGCCTTCTACAATGCAGCCCCCCCTCCCCCGCAGAACTCTCTAGAAATTGCAGGCTACAGAGTCATTCAGGCATCCCTAGGGATTCTGGACAGTGTAGTCTGATGTTCTGCCCATGCAGCATCACTATAGTGGATTCTGGGAGCTGCAAGCCCCCAAGGATCATGGGTATTATAGCCTGGTGCTATGTTCAACTGTACAGTGACTACTTAGAGCTTGGAGCATCCAGGAATTCTGAGTACTGTAGTCAGTTCTACTCAGTCAGCCCTGACCGCAGAGGTCTCTGAGAGGTGTAGGCCATTGATTATTCTGGGTTGTGCAGTCCATCCTACCTAAGTGGACCTCACCATCAAAGCTCTGGGATCTGTGTAGCACAAGCCTGCCTAGACACCCCTGGGAGTCTGTGTAGTGCAATACAAAGCTTGCCCAGCAGTACTCAAAAGGTAGGTGTCTGGGAGCTGTAGGCCCCCAGGGATTCTGGGTAGCATAGTCCTGTCTTCTGCCTCCATAGCCCTCAGTGTGGAAGCCTCTGAGAGTTCCAGGACACATGGACACGGGGCACCTCCAAGAATTCTAGGTAGTGTAGTTCAGCTCCCTACCCTGTAGCCCTCACTATTGCAGATCCTGGAACTGTGATTCCCCCCTGAGGATTCTGGATAAAGGTAGTCCAGTGTTTTGCCTACATTCCCTTACTGCAAGGGCCATGAGAACTGAAGGCCACATGCTTGTCTTGGTACTGAAGACCTCACTGTGGAAGCCTCCTGGAATTGCAGGCAGCACATTCACCAGTGTGTCCCCAGGAATTGTAGGTAGTATAGTCTGACCTGTATAATGCACAACTCTCACTTGGGAGGCCTCTGGGAGTTGCAGGCTGCATACTCACCTGGGAAACACACCTAACCAAGGACTCTGGATACTGTAGTTAAGCTCTCAGTCCAACAGTCCTCACAACAGAGGATCCTGAGAGCTGCTGATACCGAGATTTGTGGATAATATAGTCCTGTGTTTTTCCTACTCACTGCAGAAAATTCTGAAACTCAAATTCCCCCTTAAGATTGTGACTAATGCAGTTCAATAGTTTGCCCACTCACCACAGAGGATTCTGGAAGCTGCAGTCCCTGATGGTTCTGGATAATGCAGTCTAGGGTTTACCTGCACATTCCTGCTGAGGATCACAGGAGCTGAAGACCCCATGCTTTCCCTGGGACCCTGGAGATTCTAGGAAGTGAGCTCTACCAACAAAACCATCACCACCAAATCCTCTGGGACTTACAGGATTACAGGGTATGTAGGCATCCCCAGACATTCTGAGCATTGAAATCTGGTATTCTGCCCTTGCAATTCTCACCCCCAGAGGCTCCTGGGCAGAGCAGGCACCCAAAAGTAATTGGCAGCATAGTTTGATTTTTTGTCAGTACAGCCCTCTCTGCAGAGGTCTCTGCAAGTTGCAGGTCCCCAAGAATTATGGGTAGCACATTCTGTCATTTGACCTATGTTGCCCTCACTGTAGAAGGCTCTGGTAACTGCAATGAAGATTCTGCAGTTACCCAGGATTCAGGTAGTACAATCCATCATAATCTTTGCATCTCTCACCCTAGAGGCTCCTGAGAGCTTCTTGCTGCATTTTCATGAGCCCTTACCCTCAGGCCCCAGTGAGAGTCCAGGCACTGGGTCCTCCCTGCACCATCTTGAGGGGGCATTTGTGTCCTCAGACACTCAAGCCACACAAAATACATTGACATACCATGATAATGAGCAGCCAAAGCCTCAGTAAGAAATACTGTTGTAAAATAAGTTCTCCTAAAATATTACCTGAGAAAGTAAAGAACATGGAAGAACTTACTTCTCAGCCCACCAGGCACTGCACAGGAAGCTTCTTCCTCATGTTTTCCTCACATGGACCTCAGTCATCCTGAATCCACAGTGGAGCCTCCATGGGTAGGTGCCAAGGAGAAGGAAGCTCTAGTGCTCACCCTAGACATACCACCAGGCATCCACAGTCCATGGTATCTTTCCAGGTGTATCCCCAGGATTAAAAAAAAAGAAGAAGAAAAAAAACCTCTGGTCTACACCTTAGATAGAGCCTCTAGGAGTCCCTAGATGTGGCATCTCTCAGGTGGATCCCCAGGAGAAGGAAGTTGGATTAGGGCATAGAACACAGCCCCCAAAAGCAGTTGATCAGAGAAAGTTGTTCTGAGTGTCCCCACTGGCCACTGTGGGCAGTGCAGGATGCTGGGAGTGGGTGTTCACTGTTCAGAGCTATAACCCCTTGTGCTAGGCAAAGTGAAGCTCTGAAATTCATAGTTCTGACTATTCCAGGTCATGATTTTGGAAATCAAAAAGAAATAGAGCCTACCATTCTATGTCTTGATCAGAATGGATGGAGATAGCAAGTAGCAAAGTACATGACCCATACACAAAATTTCACTGATTTCCTATAATTCAGCCATCATGTAGGGGAAACAGTGAAATTTATAAACTGGAATAAGAAAAATTTTAAAGCATTAATATTTAAAATAGAGACCCCCAAATTTGAAGTACTTACATGTAAATCTTAAAGTACAACCATACTTTCAGAAAATCTTGAAATGTTTATAAAGAAATCAAATGAAATATAAATAAATGCAGAGATAGTCTTTGCTCAGGTCTCAATATAATTAAGATGAAATTATCTCAAATCTGATCTGAAGATTCAGTGCATTCCAGAAATTCCCAACAAGCTATTTATAAACCTAGACTAGACAGCACTGACTGCAAAAGAACACACTTCAAGAAGCCACATATCTGGATGCCAGAACCTATCAAAATACTCCCTAGACTTGAATTTAAAATGTGAAACTGTAAAACTCCAGAAGATGTGCATGACCACATGTTTCATGATAAGGTTTTATATGTAGCCCCCGCCAAAAAAAAAAATCCATAAAAGATAGGGATGTGGCTCAGTGGTTAAGCTCTGGGTTCAATCCCAGCTACCAAGCAAACAAACAATAACAATAAGAAATCCATGAAAGAAAACCTGATGTGGACTGCAGTAAATTTCTCTGTTAAAAAAATCATATAAAGGAAATGAAATGACAAGTCAAACACTGGGGGAATCTTTGGAAGATATATGTCTAAAACAAACTTGTGTAAAAAATATACTGAGACATTCAACAATAAGACAACATAATGGGTAAAGACATGAACAGACAACTCACAAGAAATATACGACATGGCAAAGAAGCATAGAAATGATTCTTAGTATCACCTGTCATGAGGAAAGCACAAACTAAGACCCCAAGGTGCACTGCACACCTACTGAGCTGCTAAGGTCTTTACTAAGTGTAGTTATCAACCATGAGGATGATGAGCAGCCACAGGCACTCTTGTGCATTGCTGGAAGAGCACACAATGGTTCAACACTATCAAAAAACTGGGCATTTTCCCTAAAGTGAGACATGGTGTCACCACACAATCCTAAAAATATAGACAAATTCCTCAAAAATGTATATCTAGATAACAGCATGCAATTACATATAGTAGTTCTATTCACAATGCCCCAATACCTTCAGCAATCAGGATGTGCTTCAATGGGTGAACAAATAGCATAACTGCTATGAATCTATGCAATGGACGCCCTGGTGTCTCTGAGCTGGAATCTTTAATTTTGGGGTCTCCACTACAGTTCCAGCTGCCTTCTCACTTCATACATCACACTCTCAGAGGCTGCCCACAGCAACTAACCATTTTCCTGGCCTCCCAGGTTTCCTTTGAAATCTCAGTGAAAGCCTCCATAACTCCCTAACTCCAATGTCCCCCAATCAAAAAAAAAAAAAAAAAGATAATAGAAAAAGCACCATGAGGTTGATGCCAAGTTCTTTTACCATCTCAACCAGTAGGCAAGATTTCTATGACTATGGCTGTAGTATCCTCTGAGTGCCTGGCATGGTGAAACAACTTCCCAACCCCCTTATTCAAGCAGGTGCACAAATGGTCTCAAAGAATTTTTACTTTTATAACCTTGAGCCAGAGATAGGTGAGATCTTTTCAGTTCCTAAGATGCCCACAAGCCATCTTTTATATTGTCTCTGGGTAAAGTAATTTAGCATCTCTGCAGTGGTGGTAATGTCCTGAACAATAACAACTTCCTTCACCCCAGTTTTACATTTTTCTGGGCAAACTGGAAATTGTTAAAATCTTTCTGCTCTGCTTTCTGATCTGATCCACAGTAAATTTGACTAAAGGTCACCAGCAATATCCATCTCACTACCTGAATGCTGTGTTGCCTTGAAATTTCCTTTGCCAGATTAATTAGTTCATCACCTTTTAATTCAACCTCATAGAATGTCTCAGGACACAGGCAAAATGTAGACAACTTCCTAGCAAGAGTGTAATATGAATGCCCTATAGTCGTATTTCAATACAGTCCTCTTCCTCTGAAACCTTACAACTCCATTCTTTGTTTCTTACAATCCTATTGGCATTTTAGACTTCTGAGAACCCACCAGAATCCCTCAAATTAAGCTCCACCTGCAACATACTAAACCTTTCCCAGCTTTGTCTCTAAATATTTCAAATTTCCTCCCCAAAAAAACCATCTCCAAAGACTACTGAATCGTATAAGTTATTCATAGCAAAAACCCACTCACTGATTTAGTCAGCTTTTTCACCACTGTGACCAAAAGATCTGACAAGAAATTTTTTAAAAAGGAAAAGCTTATTTGCTGCTCATGGTTTCAGAGGTCTCACTCCAAAGACACACAACTCAATTGCTCATTTAAAAAAAAATTTTTAGTAATCAATGGATTTTTATTTATTTATATGCAGTGCTGAGAATTGAGCCCAGTGCCTCACACATGCTAGGCAAGCACTCTACCACTGAGCTCGTGGTCCAAATTGAAGCAGAACATCATTGCCAAAACTGTAGAGAAGAAAAGCTGGCAAACAAGGGGGTGGGGGGAGACAGAGAAAGAGAGAGAGAGAGAGAGAGAGAGAGAGAGAGAGAGAGAGAGCACTAGCTCTTCTCCTCAGGGAGAAAATATTAACCTCAAAGGAATGCCACCATTTACCCACCTTGTCCAGTTACACCCTACAGTTACCACCCAGTTAATCCCTATCAGTGGATAATTAGGTTAATGCTTTCATTAAATTGGTGCACTGATGTAGGTTAATGCTCTCAGGATCCAGTCATTACACATTTAAATTTTATCTCATTGACTCACATGAGTTTTTTAAAGGATAACTCATATATAAACCATAATAGCTATGGATACCATAAAAACATGAAGGACACAGGGCAGCTATTATATTAGCCTTAGGTGCTACACTATGGATATCATATTAGTATTAAAGATCACAGGGAGATACTATTTTGCTTTAGATGTTATAGTATGTATATTATATTTGGATTAGAGACCACAGGGCAGCTATTATATTAGTTTTTTATGTCATGTTGTGAATATTATTTTAGTATTAGAGGCCATGATGTGGACATTATATTAATATGGAAGCTGTTATATTAGTGTTCAAGGCTACTCTCTGGACACTATATTTGTATTAGAGGCCACATATGGTCACAATAGCATCAAAGGCTACTATGGATAATACATTAGCATTAGAGGCTGCACACAGACAACATGTTAGCATTATCACTCCACTGTAACAGTATTATGACACTGCCATATCCAGGAAGGTGGCACATACCCTCTGGTGGTCATTAGGACCCAGCACAGAATGCTTCAATTCAGTGGTGTATGGGCACCCCATGACATTCCTGAGAAATGGATGAAATTCAGTACTGTATCTAGATTACTCAAGGCCATGATTTTGGAAATTCAAACAAAATGAAACCCAGTATCCTTGTTTTTTAAGAAATGGTAATTGAACAAATTATTCAAACCTTATTAAGTGAAATGAATGTAGACACAAACAGAAACTCCTACAAAAATTAACTCATAATAGTCCACAACTAAAATGTGATAAAACTAAAAAAAAAATTCTGGAAAGAAATAAGAAAATCTATGTAATCTTAGATTTAGTAATGGTAGTGTATATTTGTTTCTGGGGGGTTTGAATGTAGGGCCTCACACATGCTGTACAAACTTTTTAATGCTGAGCTACTTTGCCAGTCCTTTCTGATGAGATTTAACTCACAATAACAAATACCAACTGACTGAAAAAAAATACCAATAACATGGACTTTATAAAGTTCAATTTTTTGGGGGGGGGCTGGGGATGTGGCTCAAGCGGTAGCGCGCTCGCCTGGCATGCGTGCGGCCCAGGTTTGATCCTCAGCACCACATACAAACAAAGATGTTGTGTCCGCCCAAAGCTGAAAAATAAATATTTAAAAAAAAAATAAAGTTCAATTTTTTACGAAGTGCACTGTTGCATGCCAACAACCCCAATTACTGAAAAGGTTGAGGCAGGAAGATTGCAAACTTGAGCCCAGCCTAGGAAATTTTTTAAAGGATGGGATTAGCTCAGTGGTAGAGCACTTGCCTAGTTTATGTGAGGCCTGTGGTACAATCCCCAGCACCACACACACACACACACACACTCATACATGCACACACATACACACACACACACACTTTTTTTCCTACTCTGTAAAAGATGGCACATAGTTATACAAAATGATGCTCAGCATCCCATATCATCAGGGAATCATAAATTAAAACAATAGTGAGGTAGTATGGCACATCTTTTAGAACTACTGAACTAAAGAAACAGCAGTGCACCAACAGCTGCAGGATGTGAGATACCAGCAGTCTCAGGCATTACTAGGAGAACATGTGGCATGGCCATTTTGGAAGATGATGTGCCAGTTCTTCCCAAAGCAAAAAAGTCCAATCTATAACCCAGCAGTGTCCCTATAAATCATCTTCTTTTAGAGAAATTCTTTGAAAAAGTATGTCAAAACAAAACTAGCATGTAATTATGAATAGCAGCTCTATGATGCTGATCAGATCATAAATAAGAATGTCCTCCCAGGGCTGGGGATGTGGCTCAAGCAGTAGTGTGCTCGCTTGGCATACATGCGGCCCAGGTTCGATCCTCAGCACCACATACAAACAAAGATGTTGTGTCCACCGAAAACTAAAAAATGAATATTAAAATTCAAAAAAAAATGTCCTCCCATACCTGAATGTATAACCAACACAGAATATAAAGGAATGAACTACCACCCTACACAGAGAAATAGATAAATTCTACCTGGTACACTAAGTGAAATAAGCCAGGCTGAAGAGGCTACATGCTGTATGGTTTATGTTTTATGACATTCTACAAAAGACAAAATTACAGAGGAAGACTTGTGCAGGATGAGGCCCAGGTGCCTCCCAGCACAGGAGTCTCCATCTACATGGAGTTGCGGTGCACCACCCTTCCTTTGGTTTTTCTCATGACCATCCTCCATCCTGAAGCTTCCCTATAGCCCACCAAAAGTCCTTATTAAAGCACAAGCCCTTCCTAGGCCCCCAGGAGATTCTGCAGGATTTAGGAGCTCTGTGCAAATAACCAAGGTAAAAGAATCAATATTAGGACAAAAAATGCTCCGAACACCTCTGTCACTCAGCAAATATGAAGATTTTAGGAGTGCGGCACCAGGAACTGGGTGCAGAGGCTGAATGTGTATTTCTTATTATGTCACAGCCCATAATCTGGAGCAATAATGAATTCATTGCTCCCATAATGGAACAATGAATTAACTATATGGCAGAAACTAGGAGCTAGATTTCCCACTGATAGGGTGAGAAGTTAAGATAAACAAGGGGTGAAGGCAGAGGGATCTATGTCATAATGGGTCAGAATCCACTGACTGCAGATCAGTATAAACTCACATTTTGCTTAATACATTCACAGATGGTTCCACTAGGAACCATCTGTGAATGTATTATATAACTAGGGGGTATGAAAAGATTAGAATACACTCATAAACTTCTTTGCATTGTCAGTTGTGTGGATCAAGATGCAAGATGAAATATTTTTATATACTTGTTTAAAGACCTTTATTTTATTTGTTTATTTGTATGTGGTGCTGAGGATTGAACCCAGTGCCTCACACATGCCAGATGAGTACACTGCCACTGAGCCACAACCCCAGCCCCTGCCAGATCAGTCAGGGTAATTTAAATATCAGAAAGAAAAAAGTTTGTGACAAAACCAGAAAATATGTTAAAGGACAACAGGAGATAATGGAAAGATCTACAATGGAAAGAATTCCCAATGGTTAAAGTAGGGATGAACTGAGCAGCAAAGTATTATTTAAAAGGCGGGGGGGGGGGGGACAGAAAACAGCTTAAGCAAAATATCCAGATGACGGATATATATAAATGACTGAATACACAAACAAATGAGGTTGAGTAGAAACCTCTTGTGCAGAAGAATTCCATATAATTGAGAGAGACACAGTCATCAAGGAGGTAGAGCTAACTCTCTGATCCCTAAGCATGGGCTCTGCAATATGACTTCCTCCAGAAGAACAGACAATGTGGACATGCAAAAAAAGAGTAACTTCACAATAAGAAACCTGAAAGGCCCTTCCTCAAGCAAGTGAGCACAATCAATACTACCATTTCACCTTGAGGGCATGAGATGATAGAGCTGCTTTTCATCTCAATGACCAGCTTCCCCCAGTCCAATAGCCCCAGGCTACATATGAGAAACACAAGGAAACCTTAAAAGTACTGCCTCAGCCAGGTGAGCACAGTCAATACTAATATGACAATAAGGATGAGAGATGACAGAGCAGCTCTTCACCTCTGTGACCTGCCTCCCCCAGACCCACAGCCCCAGTTTAAATATGAAAAAAAGGAAAATTCAAAAAAAAATTATAAAAAATACCTGACAAGTCATCCTCAATGCTCTCAAGGTCATCAGAACAAGGAAGTTCATAGAAACTGTCACCCCAAGAGAAGTCTATGGAGACATGATGACTGGATGTCATGGAATCCTAGAACAGGAAGACACAGAACCGAGAATCCAAAGGATATGTACTTCAGTTAATGTTAACATACCATTATTTTTTTTCTTCATGACAAATGGTCTAAGATGTTAACACTTTAGAGACAGCTCATCTAAGTCATAACAAGGGAAGAAACCAGGTTGAGGCTACCTGGGAAATCTCTGCACTTTCTTTTCAATTTCTGTATAAAGATAAAACTAAGCCTGGCATGGTGGCACATGCCTGTAATCTCAGCATCTTGGGAGGCTGAGGCAGGAGGATTTCGAGTTCAAAGCCAGCCTCAGCAACTTAGTGAGGCCTTAAGTAACTCTGTGAGACCCTGCCTCTAAATAAAATATAAAAAAGGGCTGGGGATGTGGCTCAATGATTAAGTGTCCCTGGATTCAATCCCCAGTACCCCCACACCAAAAACAAACAAACAAAAAAAAAAAAAACACCATTAAATTACTCTAAAGTAAAACCTTAGGACATGGTTATATTTTCTCAAACAATTACTTGTTTAATTATTCATACAGTTAATTACTGGTAACTGACACTCTTAGCTAGTTCTGTATTTTATTATGAACATTCATAACAAAAAAATCAAATAGTTCAAACTAATATAAAATTCAAAATATGTGCTTCTTTTACATATTTCATGTTGAACTAATAACATAAGTAAATTCCTTATATTTTTAAGCTGTCACTAGGTTCTAGGTTTGCCTTCTTAAAACTTGATCACTAGAGGGAAAAAAAATGACATTTTAGAGATTCTATTTCAACTCCTGGTTTAACTTTCCTGAAAGAGTGACTTTATATATATAAAAAAAAAAAAAGTCCGAATGCAAATTGACTCACTGTGACTGAATCATTTATCCCAAAGAATGCTTGTCTCTATTTTATTTCTATGCATACCTTTTTAGCAGCAATATAATCAAATATTTGTGACTGGGACAAATAGTCAAAGAAATAGTCATCTCCTCCAAGAACTCTGCAGGAAGTGTTGAGCCAAGAGAAGCAGAGGTGTCAGCTTGGTCCAGAAATTATATTAGATGCTGCTGTGTTGTGAGAAAACACTCTACCTTTTAGAAATCACAAGGAGCTATGGATGCCCACACTCTTGTATGAGTCTAAATCTAGTTGAACTTCTAAGTAATTTTATTGTCACTAGCTCATCATGAAGCTAATGACAACTAAAGGATCTATGGGGCTGGGGATGTAGAAAGATTTTCTAGCATGCAGGAGTCCCTAGGACCAACCCCCAGAACCACAAAAAAAAAAAAGAGAGAGAATTTGTGTCTTATTTTTGTAATCAAATAGAAAATGAATAATCACTCCTCTTAAGGAAACATGTTGGACCTAAAACACTTGAGACTCTCAGAATCAAAATACTCTCCTTACAGTGTATTGCATAGCTAGATCACCATAAACAGTGGTGTCACATCATAAACCATGTTCACATTAAGCATACCATCAAAAAACAACAAAAAGGCTTTATTGAATGTTGATAAGAAAAATGAACATAATCTAGCTTAGGAAATTATTAACACGTTGGAAACATATGATACTGACATCAAAATCCTCCAGGACAAGCCAGGCACTTTGACTCATGCCTGTCATCTCAGCTATTTGGGAGGATAAAGCAGAAGGATGACAAATTTGAAGCTGACATTAGCAATTCAGCTAGACCCTGCCTCAAAATGAAATTGTAACAAAGACTGGGGACATATGTAGTTCAAGGCTTGCATAGCACAAGCAAGGCCCTGGGTTTAATCCCCAGTGCCAAAAAAAAAAAAAAAATTCTCTAGGTGAGACATCTGACAACTATGGCAGGTACAGAACAAGGCAGAAGCCATTATGTCAACCTCCTCAAAATGATTAAAGTAAACCTGCACTTTGTTCAGCTCACAATACTAACATGTCTGATTTCTGCTTCTAATAATTCAAATGCAACCATTTAAATATGATCAAAAGTGCATGTACTTTTCTAATGAATCCAACAAATATGAGTGAGATACTCAACTGCATTCTGAAAGGCACCTTATAAGCACATAGGGGCACCAACATTAGGATAAAATGTAATCATGGCATTTCCTACATGAAATAACCCTAAATACTAATAAATACATAATTTCAAAAGAAAGACAAATTTCTGAAATCAAAAGTAAGTTGATACATTTTTAAATGATATTTTGAACAGAGGCAAAACACTTAAAAGAGTTCTCCCACAAGAATTCCTGACAACATAAAGTATCATGCTCATTAGAAGGCCCATCCCTTTGTATGCAAGGAATAAGAGAACTTTCTGATGAATATAGAACTTTAATAGGACATATGGAAATGCTTTCTAAATTTGAAAAGAAGAAAATATCTTTTTTTAAAAAAGCTTATTTTTAGTAAATGTATCTGAATTACAAAAAAAGCAGCTACTGACTTGTCTCTTACATTTTGTAATGATTCGCATCTCAGGAGATTTCATCTATAATGGTTTTAAATATCATGAAATATCAATAGTTAACATTAAAAATATCATCATCCCTCTTCTCTTTTAAAACTGATTTGAGATTTTCTTAGAATAATTTCATATGAATTTGGAAGAGGCACTTTGGTATATGTGTATATGTGTAAATACATGATCTTTTTTTAATTTTTTTTCTTTATTTTTAGTTGTAGTTCAATACAATACCTTTGTTTTATTTACTTATTTTTATGTGGTGCTGAGGATCAAACCCATGGCCTCGCATGTGCTAGTCGAGTGCTCTACTGCTGAGTCACAACCCCAGCCCCAATACATGATCTTTTGAAACTATACCCCTTATGCTTGAGTCCTGTCAAAGACATCTTCTGTGTGTGTGGTGCTGGGATGGACTCCATGGCCTCTCACATGCCAGGCAAGTGCTCTGCCACTGAGCTGCACACCCAGTCTCAAACATGTCTTAATAAATGGAAATTAATTAAAATCATTTGATTGTGAGCATTTCCAAACAAGACAATTCCCTCAAACAAAACAATTCTCTCAATCAAAAACAAAGTAAGCTAAAAGAAATTTTTAAAATATTCCTTATTGGTGTAATCAAATAGAAAATGAATAAAAAATAGAAGTTCACAGAATTAAAAATCCTATACAGGGCTAGAGTTGTGGCGCAAAGGCAGAGCATTTGCCTGGCATGTGTTAGGCCCTGGGTTCAATCCTCAGCACCACACATAAATAAACAAAATAAATAAATAAAATAAAAAGATCCACTGACAACTAAAAAAATATTTTAAAAATTCTGTAGAAAATTTAAAGAATATTAATTAAAAATTGAATAGGAAAAACCTATTACACAGAACTGAAGGCCATGGGGAATTACATAGCAAAATAACTCTAAAATAAGAAAAATAAATGAATCAATTAACATACAAAATCTTGGACTGATACTTAGAGTTCTCCCACTGGATGGGATCCTGGGATCATCAGGGCTCAAGGCTGGCTGTCATCTGCCCTTTAACAAATTCTGAGTCTATTTCAAATGTTCATGATCTATAGAGAATAAAAGAGAGAGAAAGGTGACTTTTCTAAATTTATTTTATGGTATGTCAAATTTTGATAATAGTCAAGATAATTCATCCAATGCAGAATGTCAGTGTTTATACAACAGATGTTATTTGTGCACCATGACAAATATACTGCCAATTAGCACAGCAGCCAGGGAGCTGCTCATCCTAGACTAGCAGGGGCAGAGTCTAGAGGAGGGGGACAGAAGGTCAGGAGGAGGGGGTGGCCTGGAAGATAAGTGGGGTCTGGAGAAGAGGCAGGGTCTTAAAGAGGAGGAGGGTTGGGCTGGGGTTATGGCTCAGTGGTAGAGCACTTGCCTAGCATGTGTGAGGCACTGGGTTCAAACCTAAGCACCACATAAAAATAAATAAACAAAATAAAGGCATTGTGTCCATGTGCAACAACAAAAAAAAAAAATTAAAAAGAGGAGGGGTGAGGTCTGCAGGAGGGGCAGGACAGGAAGATGGGAAAGATCTGGAGGAAAGACAGGGTCTGAAGGAGGGAGAGAATGAGTCACAAGGGGGCAGGGCTTCACAGAGGGGTAGGACCTGGGGAAGGGACAGGCCCTGGAACATGAGTTGGACCTAGAGGAGAGGCAGGGTAGGAAGGAGGGGGAAGGGTAGTTCAGGAGGACAAGCAGGGCCATAGAATATAGGTGGGGTCTAGAGGAGAGGCAGGGTCTGGAGGGTCCTGGAGGGGGCTGGGGATGTGGCTCAAGCAGTAGTGCACTCCCCTGGCATGCATGCGGCCCGGGTTCGATCCTCAACACCGCCGAAAAATGGAAAATAAATATTGAAATTCTCTCTCTCTCTTTAAAAAAAAAAAAAAAAAGAGGGTCCTGGAGGGGTGGCTTCTTGCTAATTAAACTGTCCACCAAAAGAAAAACGTGTGGCTGTGGTAGCTCAGTGGTAGAGCGCTTGCCTAGCATATGTGAGGCACTGGTTTTGATCCTCACCACCACATAAAAATAAATAAATAATATAAATATATTGTGCCCTTCTGCAACTAAAAAAAAAAAAAATGAAAAAAAAAACTAAGCAGAGATTAAAGAAAAAGAAAAATGTGGTTCATGAGTTCGGTTCCACAAAAAACATGAGATGTATTTTTAATAAATTCTGGCTTTGTTAGAAGTAATATATTTAAACTTAAGCAGCTCAAAAGGCTGAGGCAGAAGGATCTCGACTTCAAAACCAGCCTCAGCAAAAGCAAGGCATGAAGCACCTCAGTAAAACCCTGTCTCTATAATACAAAATAGGGCTGGAGATATGGCTCAGTGGTCACATGCAACAACAAAAAAAAAAAAAAAGATAAGTACTGAGTTCAATCCCCAGTACCCAAAAATAAAAATTAAAAAAGTTTTTTAAAATAACATAGTGGGCTGTTAACATACGTACTTTTCAATTTTTTTCTACTATTTTAACACTGCAAGAAAAAGCAAACCATTTAAACACTAAAGAAAACAAGGAAGTGGACTGGGGTCCCCTTCCCTTAGGCTGTACATTCCTCCCTCCCTACACATTCCTCCTTCCTCCCTGCCAGGTTCCCTAGAAACCACCCTGGGTCACTATATTAAGATGATGAGGGTCATAGCCTAAGGAAGGGTCACTGCTGCACAGGGAGCCAGGATGAAATTGTGAAGGACAGAGAGGGACTGACAGCCAAGGATGCCCTCAGCTCTCAGGTCCAGGACAGGGTTTGCTCCTCATGCTTCCCACCATCCCCTCACCAGCTGCCAGAGCTGCCAGAAGCTTCTGAGCCATCTCTCTGAGGCTGCTCTGTGGAAAAGGGAATCACAGGTGTCCCTAGAGACATGGCCCATGAGGGTCCCCATGCTACGCATCTCCTCAGGCTGCTCTGAGCAGAAAACCCCAGACTTCTCTAAAAATATGACCCATGAGGGTCCCCAAGCCAGGCATCTCCCCAAGGCTACTCTGAGGAGAAGGGAACCCCAGGCATCCAAGGAGACATAAACCACGAGGGTCCACCCACCAGGCATCTCCCTCAGGCTGCTCTGAGGAGAAGAAAACCCAGGACCTACATAGACTTGTGACCCACAAGGCTCCCCACATCTGGCTTCTCCCTCAGGCCAATGTGAGGAGAAGAAAGCCCCGGGCATCCCTAAGACATGACTCACAAAAGTCCCTACGCCAAGAGTCCACGCTGACGCTGCTCTGAGGAGAAGGGAGTTCCGTGAGTCCCTGGAGGCATGACCCACGAGGGTCCCCAACCTGGGTGTCTCTCTCAATCTGCTCTGAGAAGGGAGCTCTGCCCCTCCCTGTGGAGTGACCTAACACTCCCAGGAATGGGGCTATCCTGGGTTGGTCCTGAGGGGGAAGCCAGCTCCTCACTCTCAAGGAAGCAGCCTTAAAGATGGCGGTGAGGCCCCGCCCCTTGTTGGCCCCGCCCCCTTTGGCCATGCACAGCAACCCTGGCTTCTGCCCCAGGCCGCTCTGAGAAGGGAACCCCCAGCCTAATTAGAGACGTGACCCATGAGGCTCCCCAGGCCTGGCATCTCCCTCAGGCTGCTATAAGGATGAGGGAGCCCCCCAGTGTCCCTAGAATGTGAACCACAGTGGTCCCCACACCAGGCATCTACCTCAGGCTGCTCTGAGGAGAACAGAACCCCGGGCATCCCTAGAGACATGACCCAAGAGGGTGCCCACACCAGGCGTCTCCCTCAGGCCACTCTGAGTTGAAGGGAGCCCCAGGCACCCCTAGAGATGTGGCCCACGAGGGTCCCCACACCAAGTGTCTCTCTCAGGCTGCTGAGGAGAAGGGAACCCCGGGCATCCCTAGAGACATGACTCACGAAAGTCCCTAAGCCAAGAATCCACACGCTGAGGCTGCTCTGAGAAGGGAGCTCCGTGAACCCCTGGAGGCATGACCCACGAGAGTCCACAACCTGGGTGTCTCTCTCAATCTGCTCTGAGAAGGGGGCTCTGCCTCTCCCTGTGGAGTGACCCAACACTCCAAGGACTGGGGCGCTCCCGGGTTAGTCCCGAGAGGGAAGTCAGCTCCTCATTCTCAAGGAGGCAGCATAAAAGATGGCCGCAAGGCCCTGCCCCTTATTGACCACACCCCTTTGGCCATGCGCTGTGCAGGAGCTCCTCCCAGCTCAGAGGCGGGGCCTGTCCTGGCTCCCTGGTGAATGTCAGCACCTTCTTCCACCCTCAGCAGTTAATGAATAAAATATGTTCCCACTGCTCTAACTAGGTCTGGCTGTGGCACCTGAGGAGTGAAATCTCAGAAGAGGAGAAATGGAGTCCAGGAGACCCCCTCTCTGCACTCCACCAGGCCAAGTGCTGCAGCAGCCTGAGACAGGCAGGCAGAGGCACAGAGGGAGGCAGCTACAGGGAGTCTAGACCCTCAGCCCAAGGGCAGAGGCCAGAAACAGACCACCTCAGAGGCTTCTGGGACGTGTAGTCTTTGAGACAGAGTGACTTAGCCAGGGACTGCTCCAATTCAGAATCAGGGGTTTTAAGAAAATCTGTTAATTTCCAGCCCAGGGTGACCACTGTAGGAGGGTAGAAGAACCTGAGCTCAGACCAAATTCCCAGTAGCCTATGACAGCATTCTAGATCACTCAGTCTGTCCTGCCTGTCCAATTCTCACCATGGATGCCTCTGGGAGCTTCAGACTACACAGATTCAGGGTTCTCAGGGTTTCTGGACAGTAGTCTGGTGCTCTGCTCACACAGTCTTTGCCCTTCAGGACCATGGAAGCTGTGTGCCATGTGCTGGCCCAGACACCCTGGAGAACCCTGGCAGTGGACTCTGGTGTTCTACCCATGCAGACCTCACCCCAGAAGCCTAGGGGTTGCAAATAGCACATTCACCCTCATACCATCAGGATTCTGGGTAGTGCAGTCTTGTATTCCACATTGCAGGCCAGCTGCAGAGGTCTCTGTGAGCTGCAGGCTACTCAGGCACCCCTAGTGATTCTGAACAGTGTAGCCTGGCATTGTGCCCACACAGCCCTCACTTCAGAGGTCTCTGGGGGCTTCAAGTAGCACATTCAACCTCATACCCCCACCCAGGATTCTGGGTAGTGTAATCTAGTCTTCTACAATGCAGCCCCCACTGCAGAGGTCTCTAGAAATTGCAGGCTACACAGTCACTCAGGCATCCCTAGGGATTCTAGACAGTGTATTCTGGTGTTCTGCCCATGCAGCATCACTACAGTGGATTCTGGGAGTTGCAAGCCCCCAATGATCATGGGTATTATAGCCTGGGGCTATGTTCAACTGTACAGTGACTACTTAGAGCTCGGAGCCTCCAGGAATTCTGAATATTGTAGTCAGTTCTACTCAGTCAGCTCTGACCGCAGAGGTCACTGAGAGCTGTGGGCCATGATTATTCTGGGTAGTGCAATCCATCCTACCTAAGTGGACTTCACCCCCATCACGGCTCTGGGATCTTTGTAGCACAAGCCTACCTAGACACCCCTGAGGAGTCTGTGTAGTGCAATACAAAGTTTGCCCCGGCGGTACTCAAAAGGAAGGTGTCTGGGAGTTGCAGGCCCCCAGGGATTCTGGGTAGTATAGTATTGCCCTCTACCTCCATAGCCCTCACTGTGGAAGCCTCTGAGATTTCCAGGCCACATGGACACGGGGCACCTCCAAGAATTCTAGGTAGCATAGTTCAGCTCCCTACCCTGAAGCCCTCACTATTGCAGATCCTGGGAACTGCAATTCCCCCTGAGGACTCTGGATAAGGTAGTCCAGTGTTTTGCCTACATGCCCCTACTGCAAGGGCCATGAGAACTGAAGGCCACATGCTTGTCTTGGTACTGAAGACCTCACTGTGGGAGCCTCCTGGAATTGCAGGCAGCACATTCACCAGTGTGTCCCCAGGAACTGTAGGTAGTGTAGTCTGACCTGCATAATGCACAGCTCTCACTTGGGAGGCCTCAGGGAGTTGCAGGCTGCATACTAATGGGCAACACACCTCACCAGGGATTCTGGATACTGTAGTTAAGTTCTCAGTCCAACAGTCCTCACAACAGAGGATCCTGAGAGCTACTGGCACCGAGATTTGTGGGTAATTTAGTCCTGTGTTTTTCCTACTCACTGCAGAAATTCTGAAACTAAAGTTCCCCCTTAGGATTGTGGGTAATGCAGTTCAGTGGTTTGCCCCTCACCACAGAGGATTCTGGAAGCTGCAGTCCCTAAGGGTTCTAATAATGCAGTCTAGTGTTTGGCCTGAACAGTCCTGCTGAGGATCACAGGTGCTGAAGACCCCATGCTTTCCCTGGGACCCTGGAGATTCTAGGATATGAGCTCTACCAACAAAACCATCACCACCAAATCCTCTGGGACCTACAGGGTTACAGGGTATGTAGGCATCCCCAGATATTCTGAGCATTGAAGTCTGGTATTCTGCCCTTACAATTCTCACCCCCAGAGGCTCCTGGGTGCTGGGAGCCATTAGCCAAGTAGGTATGACAATTTCCTTGCCAGCGTACCCCATGTTGCTGACATGTTGCAGTGACATTGAATGTAGGTGACCTTGCTCAAGGACCAAGGCAGATTAGGGTGTTCCCGGTTTTAAGATAATCGTGTTTAGGGCGTTCCCAGTTTAGGTTCCAGGTTTAAGGTTTAAGATTATTCCTGCTGGGAATAGGGCGTATCCTGCTGCCTGAGTTCCCCTTGAGTTCTCACGGGATTCAGACAGTATATTTTGGAGATAGAAGCCCAGTGGAGGTGGATTTGGGAAGAGAACGTGGATTTCCCCAGAACGTGATTGTAGACGGCTGGTGTGAGTTCGGGAATAAAGAGTTGCTGTTTAAATCTACAAGCTGTGTGGTGGCTCGTGATTGTGTGCCCAGCCAGACTGCGGCATTTGTGCCCAGCCAGACTGCGGCACCTGGGTAGAGCAGGCACCCAAAAGTAATTGGCAGCATAGTTTGATTTTTTGTCAGTACAGCCCTCTCTGCAGAGGTCTCTGCAAGCTGCAGGTCCCCAAGAATTATGGGTAGCACAGTCTGTCATTTGACCCGTGCTGCCCTCCCTGCAGAAGGCTCTGGTAACTGCAATGAGGATTCTACAGTTACCCAGGATTCTGGGTAGTGTGCAATCCATCATAATCTTTGCATCTCTCACCCTAGAGGCTCCTGAGAGCTTCTTGCTGCATTTTCATGAGCCCTTAACCTCAGGTCCCAGTGAGATTCCAGGCACTGGGCCCTCCCTGCACCATCTTGAGGGGGCATTTGTGTCCTCAGACACTCAAGTCATACAAAATACATTGACATACCATGATAATGAGCAGCCAAAGCCTCAGTAAGAAATACTGTTGTAAAATAAGTTTCCCTAAAATATTACCTGAGAAAGTAAAGAACATGGCAGAACTTACTTCTCAGCCCATCAGGCAGTGCACAGGAAGTTTCTTCCTCATGTTTTCCTCACATGGACCTCAGGCATCCTGAATCCACAGTAGAGCCTCCATGGGTAGGTGCCAAGGAGAAGGAAGCTCTGGTCCTCACCACAGACATATCCACCAGGCATCCCTAGTCCATGGTATCTTTCCAGTGTCTCCCCAGGATTAAAAAAGAAAAAAAAAGAAAAGAAAAGAAAAAAAACTCTGGTCTACACCTTAGATAGAGCCTCTAGGAGTCCCTAGATGTGGCATCTCTCAGGTGGGTCCCCAGGAGAAGGAAGTTTGATTAGGGCACAGAACACAGCCCACAAAAGCAGTTGATCAGAGAAAGTTGTTCTGAGTGCCCCGTGCTGGCCACTGTGGGCAGTGCAGGATGCTGGGTGTTCACTGTTCAGAGCTGCACCCCCTTGTGCTAGGCACAATGAAGCTCTTAAATTCATAGTTCTGACTATTCCAGGTCATGATTTTGGAAATTGAAAAGAAATAGAGCCTACCTCCTATGTCTTGATCAGAATGGATGGAGATAGCAAGCAGCAAAGTACATGGCCCATAGACAAAATTTCATTGATTTCCTATATTTCAGCCATCATGTAGGGGAAATAGCGAAATATATAAACTGAAATAAGAAAAATTTTAAAGCATTAATATTTAAAATAGAGACCCCAAATTTGAAGTATTTACATGTAAGTATTAAAGTACAATCATACTTCAGAAATTCTTGAAATGTTTATAAAGAAATCAAATGAAATATAAATAAATACAGAGATAGTCTTTGTTCAGGTCTCAATATAATTAAGATGAAACTACCTTAAACCTGATCTGAAGATTCAGTGCATTCCAGAAATTCCCAACACACTCTTTTTAAACCTAGACTAGACATCACTGACTTCAAAAGGACACACACTTCAAGAAGCCACACATATGGATGCCAGAACCTATCAAAATACTCTCTAGATTTGCATTTAAAATGGGAAACTGTAAAACTCTAGAAGATGTGCATGACCACATATTTCATGATGAGGTTCTAAATACAACCCACCCCCAAAATCCACGAAAGCTATGGATGTGGCTCAGTGGTTAAGCACCCTGGGTTCAATCCCTGCTATCAAACAAATAAACAATAACAATAAGAAATCCATGAAAGAAAAACCTGATAATGTGGACTGTATTAAATTCCTCTGTAAAAAATCATATTAAGGAAATAAAAAGACAAATCAAAGACTGGGGGAATCTTTGGAAAGTATATGTCTAAAACAAACTTGTGTAAGAAATATAGTAAGACTCAACAATAAGACAACATAATGGGAAAAGATATGAACAGACAACTCGCAAGAAAGAAACGACATGGTAAAGAAGCATAGAAATGATTCTTAGTATCACCTGTCATGCACTGCACACCTACCGAGCTGCTAAGATCTTTAGTAAGTGTAGTATCAACCATGAGGATGATGAACAGCCACAGGCACTCTTGTGCATTGCTGGAAGAGCACAAAACAGTTCAACACTATCAAAAAACTGACCATTTTCCCCAAAGTTAGACATGGTTTCACCACATGGTCCTAAAAATATAGACAACTGCCTCAAAAATGTATATCGAGATAACAGCACGCCATTACATGTAGTATTCTATTCACAATGCACTAATACCTTAAGCAATCAGGATGTGCTTCAATGGGTAATAAAATAGCATAACTGCTATGAATCTATGCCATGGAGGCCCTGGTGTCTCTGAGCTCCCCCAGGTCTCTACTCTGGACTGCCTTTACCTTTGCACACCTCACAGAGGGAAAAAGTGAATTCTGAATAAAAACACCTGTACATGCAGCTCATAAACTCAGGCTCAATATGCAGTTGCTGCCTATGGAAAGAGATTAAAAAGTTCTGGATGTGGGTGGTAAACTTAGAAAAATGCAAGCACAACAACCCAGGCCTACATCTTTATTCACAGGAGCTTCCTGGGGAACAACAGACAAATATGGAGGCAACTCCAGGATCCCCACACAACCATATCTAGGGGAGAACCTGAAGGTGGCTGTCATTAGGGCCCCTGTGTCTCACCTCTGATTAGCTTAGAGGACATTATGCTACAGCTTCATACCTCCATCCCAATTTTTAATTTCATCTCTTTCCACAGGTTGCAAATGCATCCTGAGCTTGGATTCTGTTGATTGATTAGCTTGTTTAATGTTGCAAAGAGAGCTATTCCACTACCTAGTCCTGATGCACAACCTCTGAAATTCACTGTTCTGGTTATTCAACATACATTTGCATATTTTTTGCTAAAATAGATCTAAAAGGATGGTTTAGCAGTTGTTGGGGTTTGCATACTCTGCCATCTGCGCAACTTTCTCTGTGTCCAGAGGCTGCAGAGTTGTTATCTGTTGTTCCAATTAACTTTTCCCTCCATTTTCATTGAGCCATAGTGTCCCTGAGGTTAGCAACTGTAGCTCCAACTCATTGAAATTCTGCAGGTCTCCTCCGGCGAGCAGAGTGTCCCTGTCTCCCGGGGACTGGTAGCAGCTCTGTGGGAGTGGAGCAGAACAGTGGAGTGGAGTCTCCTCGGGCTGGGGAACCTGGAGGGAAAAAGGGCAGAGCCGAGGTGCGCGGATGCCAGACCCACAGTTTCCACTGCAGGATAAACCAAGCACCTTTCAGAAACTACAACCTGGCTTCTGTCCGCCAAGTACCTCCTATGGGCGGCACAAACAGGGGACCTTTTTGGCAGCAGAGCGTGGAGACCCGGAACCCCTGAAGCCACACCTGAGAAGAACGAGTGCCCTCCAGGCTCCATAAAGTCAATCCAGGGTGCTGGAGTGGGAGAAAGGGCTGCGTTCCAGGTCGTGATTTCTGAGTTCTAATTCCGCTGCACCCTGGCCCAAGCCTGCGTGGTTTGGCTATGTGACTTAACACCTCTGAACTGTAGTTTCCCACCTGCGCCAGGCGGTGGCAGTGCTGTCCTGGTTCCTGCCAGATGGGCAGCAAGGAGCTGGTGCTTTCAGGGTTGGAAAGCACTGTGGGGCTCTGTAGCACTGCCACCCTCTGTGCATGGATCCTGCTCCCCTCTCCATAGCTCTGTATTCAGCTTGTACTCACGCTTCAAGTCACTGCAGCCATAACGTAATTCCACATAGGTACTCGCCCATTCTTCAATATACCCCACATTGTTTGGAGAACCATGCAGTAAATGCCCTCATTTGCGGGGCTGGGATGTGGCTCAGTGACTGAGCGCTTGCCTCATACATGTGAGGCCCTAGTTTCAATCCTCAGCACCACATAAAAAGAAAATAAAAAATAAAAATAAAAAATAAATGCCCTCATTTGCTATTCCCCCTTTCAAGACTTAAACCTTTCTTTCAAGCTTTGGATCTGAGATTTCTCAGTGTCTGATGCAGGTGGCTTTGGTTTTTCCTTCATCTAAGACTGGACCCTGCAATATGGTGGGGCTGGAAGCTGATAGGCATGACGTGGAGTTTACACATGATGTTGAGGCTGGGACAAAGTTATGTCTAGGAATAGTGACTGAGTCTGAACCAAAATGTAAGGAGTTTTGAGAGCTGTTGAGTAAACACCCAGGCCCTGCCTCTCTGATTTTGAGTCTGAATTATACCAATTAACAGGTGGGATGGGAGCTACTTCTACATAGCATACATGAAAGCAATTCATAGGAGAAAGGAAGAAAGAAAGACTGCAGAAAGGATCCTACACTTGGCTGGGCTCTGGGCACTTCTCTGACCTGTGGCCCTTCCCCCATGGGGCACTAAGCCCTGCCCCTTTACTGACAGGAGGTTTCCTGTCCTACAGACACCAGGTTGTCCTCATCTTGGACACAAGAGTTTTCACCAAGGCCTTCTGGGTTCCAGCAGAAGTTCAGTGACTAAGCCCAATGGATGCTACTGGAAAGAGCAGGCAGTTGCAAAAAGGGGATGTGAAAGGCTGGCCAAGGGGAAGTAAATGCAAGTTTGTCCTTGCACAGAAATGGGATTTCAGTGAAATGGGCTTTGAGTGGACATACTTTGTGCAATAAAGTGGCTAACTCTGAGATAAACAAGATTGATAAGCATTTAGCCAAACTAACCAAAATGAAGAGAGAGAAAACTTACACTAATAAAATTAGAGATGAAAATGGAGAAATCAAACATTATAGAAATTCAGCAGAACATTAGGGACTATATTGAAAACTTATACTCCAATACATTGGAAAACCTAGAAGAAATAGATATATACAACCTGCTAAAACTGAATCAAGAGGACATAGAAAACTTAAACAGACCAATAACTAGGAATGATATATAAAACCATAAAAAACGCCTTCCAAAAAATAAAAACCTGGGACCAGATGGATTCTCAGCTGAATTCTACCAGACCTTTAAAGAAGAACTAAAGCCAATACTCCTCAAATTATTCCATGAGATATAAAGGAATGGAGCACTTCCAAATTAATTCTATGAAGCTAGTATCACTCTCATATCAAAACCGGATAAGGATAATCAAGTAAAGAACACTGCAGACCAATGTCATTGATGAACTTAGACTTTTAAAAAATATACCTAATAAAATATCAGCAAATCATGTTCAACAACATACTAAGAAGATTGTACATCATGACCAACTTAGTTTTATACCAGAGATGCAAGGATGGTTTAATATACACAGATCAATAAATGTAATTCATCACATAAGTAGAATTAAGGGCAAAAATCATTTAGTCATCTTGATAGGTACAGAGAAAGCCTTTGACAAAATTCGGCACAAAATTTGACAAAATAAAAGCAATGAAGAAACTAGGGATAGAAGGAACCTACCTCAATACAATAAAGGGTATATATGAAAAAACCTAAAGCCAACATCACAGTAAATGGGAGAAAAGTGAAAGCATTTCCTTTAAAATCAATAACAAGACAAAGATGTCCACTCTCACCACTCCTGACTAATATAATTCTAGGCAGAACAATTAGGCAAGAGAAGGAAATAAAGGAATTAAAAATAGGAAATAAAGAAGTCAAATTGTCACTGTTGGCAGATGATTTGGTCCTATACTTACAAGATAAAAAACAAAACTCCACCAAAACACTATCAGGAATAATAAGCAAATTTGTCAAAGTAGCAAGTTACAGAATCAATATAAAAAATCAGTAGCTTTCCTATACATCAATAATTAATCTGCAGAGAAAGTAATCAAGAAAACTATTCCATTCTCAATAGCCTCAAAGAAAATAAAATACCTGGGAATAAATCTAACCAAGGAGGTGAAAGATCTCTAAAATGAAATCTATAGAACATAGAATAAAGAAATTGAAGATGATTCAAGAAGATGTAAATACCTCCCAGGTTCATGGACACAAACATGAGCTTTCAAGGCCCCTTCTTTTTTCTGATGTGGCTCACAGGAGTCAGAAAGCAGTGTACTTAGTACTGCCAATTCACCACAAAGCCTATCTTTCAAACATATCTTAAATAATAAACTTGAACAGGCAGGTGATAAAAATCAGGGAAAAGCAGTCATAAAGGGCATGTTGCTTCATGCCCTCTCCAGGTACCACCTCCCAGCACCTTCAGCAACATGGAGGGTCTTTAACCCCTGTCCTTTTGCTTTTCATTTAATGATTCATTAAATAATTGCTCATGGTGATCACCTGAAACTTAAGACCCTCAATCCTCCCCAAACTTGTGGGAGGGCTCAAGTTCCAATGAGCTAATCATAGAGTTGGTTCCACTGCACCCAGCCATCCAGGGCCACCCAGGAATCATAGACCATGGTTCACCTCCCTGGCTGCAAACAGACACACTGCTTCATAGATTGAAGGATCAGAAGGTTAGTGCCAGGAAACTGGGCCAAAGACCAATTTTTTTTTTTTTGGTACCAGAGATTGAACCCAGGGACACTTAACCACTGAGCTCCATCCCCATACCCTTATTTATTTATTTATTCAACTATTTTATTTTTAGATAAGGTCTTCCTAAGTTCCTTTTGGGTATCAATAAGTTGTTCAGGATGGCTTTGAATTTGTATTCCCCCTGTCTCACCCTCCTCAAGGCACTAGATTAACAGGCATCCAACACTGTGCCTTGCCTGTATTTCTTATTATGACTCACCAACACACATAAAGAAATAAATATATATATACTTTTCAACTTGAAAAAGAACTTGAATACACACTGCACTAGCAAACATGAGAAGATGCTTAACTTCTCATTAATTATGGACCTGTAAGTTAAAGTCACAGTGAAATCTCCTCAATCCTGTTAATATAACCATTATCAAAATAATTTAAAATAGGGGCTGAGGATGTGGTTCAAGTGGTAACGCACTTGCCTGGCATGTGTGGGGCACTGGGTTCGATCCTCAGCACCACATAAAATAAAATAAAGATGTTGTGTCCACCAAAAACTGAAAAATAAATATTAAAAATTTTTTTAAAATAATTTAAAATAGCAAGCATTGGTAAGAATGAAGACAAATGTATGACCTGTGTGTGGAATAACTGCAGT